ATATACTTCAGAGCGGAGTTGGAAGCTGAAAATCGTGTAGGCATTTCGCCCCCAGTCTTCAGGTTCATGGACAGTGTGCCGCATAATTAAAAAATCGGTGCCCAATGCCACCTCGCAGCCATACCACAGAATACGTGGTTTTATGTTAAACCAGCTTGAGTAAAGACCCCCCTGAACCTGTTACCAAAATACTTTACTGAAATGAAGTGCCCAAAGTTGCGTTTTAGAAGATCTGGTTCTCAGTAATAAAGTTACGCTAGAGCAGTAAATATGGTGGTCAATCTTCTGTTCAACCTTGCTCATTCCACTTACGCAGAATTTTAACAAACCCCAAAATGTGACGGTTTTTGTCTGGTGATGACTTGTATAACAGCGTATTTCGTGCAGTAGCGATGGAACATTTTGCAACAAACAAAGATTTTGGGGTAAGGCATTTGCTCCATGGTAATCTTCTAGTCACTAAATCAATCGACGCAAAACACCCTGACAGATAACAACATGGCCTACGTTTGCATACGGACAACATGATGTGGCTTCCGAGGAGAATTACTAACTTCTTTTAGATGAGGAGAATGAGGAGGAGTTTCAAGCTCGATCTGATAGCCTAAAACAACGAAAACCCGACTGTGGGGTGAAACTTGATCGCTGTGTAACTTTCATGTGATAATGTGTATGTGCATTAGGATTGTGTTGACCATTTTGAGATCGAATTTCGCTGAAAATGTAGCACAAAAAAGGATCAAATGATGGACTGTGAGCATACGTTCCATCCACATACATTTCCACTCTNAAAAGGATCAAATGATGGACTGTGAGCATACGTTCCGTCCACATACATTTCCACTCTTTCCACAAAAGGCCGACCGAGCGTCATCCACTTTGCGATAACATACCATATTTACAAAAATTCGCTCGTGTATTCACAGGATTTGATTTCCATTCCATTGTTGACAAGAGTATACTTCGGTTTACTTTATTTACCGAGTGTGCGGACTCGCGCTGTTCAGTCTCCCAAAACTTTGAACTAATGATTAACTAACTAATTAAATTTATCGTACAGCCTATCTCTTCGGCAAAATATTTGCTGTCCAATTTCGCCTTCATCCCAGTTACCAGTTAGGTGTCAAACTAACGAATAATAACTTGCAGTAAAAAACTATTTTTCCTTAAAAACTTACAGCACTCGTGTTCGAGCAGCTCACAATGTGCATAGTTTCATTCATAATCTATCCCGTTTAGGTCATATCGTGGACGGTATTCAGTTTCTAAGCTCAAAATGCTTGATGTGAACATGCGAGTCAGGATTCGATGGTGACATACTTGGCTTTTCGTCGTACGTCCAGAATCCAACAACACTGAGCAGTAAAAGTCACGTTTACCAGTTTTTGACCGCCATGATAAAGACAATCTCGGAAGGCCGACTAATGAAACTCATCAAGTGTCAGTCAGAAAAAAAGATCGTTCAGCTGTAGCACCCTTTCGGTGCCTAGCTGCCTTGCCACCCCAAGGAAGTACGAGGGCTGGGACAGTGCCAGGTTTCCCAAGCCTAGATGGCGGAAGTCGAGATGCACAGTTCATGTTCGAACCAAGGACCTTCAGGTTAGTAGATTCGCGCTCTAACCACGAAGCCATCCCCCCCCCTCGTCAGTTAGAGCTAAATAACTTACCGTTGAATTTGGCTTTCGTCTTCCATAAAATATTTTGAGTGTATCATCAAGAAAAGGAATAAATGCATACAAAAGTAAGCCACCATTTTGTCCGACTGATAGTACAATTGGAACTTACATGCGTGCATCTCCATATAAAATCACGTGACCAATCACTCTAAGCTACGGGAGCGCACAACCATTTATCTGCCAAGTCAGTGGCGTAGGTGTAAGGTAAGCCGTTTCCAATAGGCTAGATAGGCAGGGCGAACACAAGAAGAGAGCCAACATACAGTGCCTCACCTCAGGCCGAAATTGGCGGCAAACAGTTGGGTTTCTCCTGGTTTTCCAACGTCCACCCGATTACAGAGAGGCAGTAAATTTGATCCTCGTCGTTGTACATTTTTTGTGATTCTTTTGGTGAATCATGTATTACGGGCGATTTTAAAATAGCGCGTTCTTGTGTTCACATTTTGCATCTGTACCTTAACGGTCCACGGAAGCAGCAACCAAGAAATAAATAAAAACTAATCCTGAATGGACAAATGCGTGTGCCCCAAACCCCTACCAAACGCTGACTGGAAACGTTTACTTTTCTTGCCGGTTTCTAGTTTGCTCACACGTTTAGGAGACCGAAATCTTCGGTGAATGGAGGCCAAGCCTGCAACTACAGAGGCGTAGAAAAAACAGGAGACTTTTTCAGCTGCCACGGCATTAGCAGTAGATCTTTTCTGACGAAAAAGATTTGTTCCGCTCTGGTCCGTTACCTCATGCGCCTGTCGACTGAGGGTGGACGAAAAAAGCATCTGGTAAGATTATTAGCTATTCGGTTGTTACTCAGCTTTGTTTCGACTTACTTGGGATGAAACCTGTTATCTTCCGGATGTCGTCTTTACTGTAGTTGTCCGCAGAATGTGCATGATGCTGGATGGAAGGGTTTCGAGCCAAAATAACGAATTCTTCCATTTCACGTAATTTTATTCAGTCAACTTCCTGTGTCACAAAACATGAATCGCGAGTAAGAATCTCAATGGAACTCAGAAGGCTGTTGCTCATGTTGAATTCTCAAACTCAACCTGTTCACACCCAGAAAAGAACACTCATGCAATCTGGAAAACGCTTGGAATGGATTAGGTAGTCATCGTTTTTGGAACAATCGGGAACAGTCGATAGGTATGTTGCTGGGCAACCTTTTGCTTTTGACACAAAATCCTCAGCAGGTCATGTGACTCGGTTACGAGGTTTGTCTAGATTCAGAACCGGAGAAGAACCAATCAGCTGGTTCAAGCTAAATCTTTGTTAGGTGTCCATCAAGGGATTTTGTGTTTTAGGGTAGGTCACCAATGTTAAGCCGATGGGAGAACCTACATGGAATCGGGTCCAGCTTAGGGTCTAGTTCTTCTCTTCACGTGACCAATCCCTTTGAAAATCGTTCGCACCTTTCGTCCGTCTAGGTGGAAGAGCGCGTGGTACGATAGTGGTGTAAGGAAGAGGGATTCTGTGAACTTTGACCAGGTTGGAATTTCCATCCCCTGGATTCTACGTGTATTGATACTCGCGCACAGTCACGTGTCAATTCTACTTATCCATACGCTCGCCAGTGCCACACTCTCGATTCTATTCACATTGTGATGCTTGGTAATTTCCATCGCCTGTGGTGTGAACCGCAATTCCGGTCTCGAAACTTCCACATTTTCCAGATCTATGCCCTGTGTCTAACTTACGTGTCGCCGTCGCCGAGTCATTTGCCAGCGCTCGGTATTCTTCCGAATTCCTTGGCGGTTTGTTTATGCTCACCAATTCTGATGTGCAGTTCACTGGCAATTTGTCCTACGTAAATCTTGGTGAGACCGTTGCATTTAATTTTACGCACACAGTCCCTAGTCCTTTCAATCGGGAGCTGGTCTTACAACTGCATCAAAGCTGAGCGTAGCGTTTTTCCCTTCTGAAAAGCTACTCAATTGTTGGCTAAGTTCAGCGAACTTCTGATAAACTCCTGCTTTATATTGAATGACTTCTGTGCGAATCCTTTCCTTACTGGGTCTTCATAACGCAGACGACATTCTTCCTAATTGCCACCTAATCAAAATCGCTGTGTGTCTTATTCCTTGAATTCCGTTGGTAATCTCGATTCAGGCTAGTATTCGGTCAATTTCTTCTGTGCACAGCTAACAAATATTGATGAGACAATACTGGCGTACTTTGCGTGGGCCGATGAATGGTATAGGATGGTCCCTGTATCTGTTCGTTTCTGGTTTATGGTAGCATTTAAATTTCCACCACCTTTTTGTGTATAAAATCCAGGAAGTGTGATGTTCCCGAAGAGGACTTCATCTCAGTAGTTTAACTACTGAGATAGTCAATGGAGTTGTCCACGTTAACACATTTCATTACAACGAAGGTGTCTTCAAAATAACGCCAAAACATTTTCGGTTGACAGTGATAAACGGCCAAGGCCGTGTTTTCGAAGTCCTCCAACCTGGTAATCTAGTCCTTTGGCCTGACGAAGTTTTTGTGTCAAAAACAACTTATTTCCCAGCAATAAATTATAGGATGGTCCCTGTATCTGTTCGTTTCTGGTTTATGGTAGCATTTAAATTTCCACCACCTTTTTGTGTATAAAATCCAGGAAGTGTGATGTTCCCGAAGAGGACTTCATCTCAGTAGTTTAACTACTGAGATAGTCAATGGAGTTGTCCACGTTAACACATTTCATTACAACGAAGGTGTCTTCAAAATAACGCCAAAACATTTTCGGTTGACAGTGATAAACGGCCAAGGCCGTGTTTTCGAAGTCCTCCAACTTGGTAATCTAGTCCTTTGGCCTGACGAAGTTTTTGTGTCAAAAACAACTTATTTCCCAGCAATAAATCTACTGAGTATTCTCAGATATTCCCGAAAACTCCTCTTTGACCATGGTAAGGGTGATGACAATAAACATAGTTTAAGTTTAAACCATCGGATGATGTCTTCCACAGCCATTGTCTTTCTGTTTGTCATTTAAGAAGCCGTCTGCTCTGCCGTGATTTTTGCGCCAGCTCGAAAACTGTGTTGGGAAGCACAAAAAACAAGGAAGTAAGTTCTCATTGAGTCTGACTGTGGTGGTTCAACACCTTCAGCCGAAACTGTACGTACATTTGGCAGTCCCATCTCACCACGTTAGAGCAGATAAAATGGAATTGCTTTTCTATCCAAAGTGTGGACAGACTGAGATTATCGTCCTGATATCAATCCACACTCCCTCGAGAGGAGTAAACGAAGTACAGTCGTTGGCCTGTCAGGCTTCTCACCTAAAAACCCTGATTTGAAACACACTCTCAATCATATGGACACAACTCGAAGACTGCTGAGCGATCATCACTTGAGAAAGTTTTGCTAAATTATCAGCAGATTTATAGCTAAGCAACGTTTTGCTTTTACATTAGTGATAAGGTTACTAGGGGGATCTAGCCTTAGGAATTATGGAAAACCCAGTGAAGGGAACAAGTCTTACAGCCAGCTGGTCATGGATTTCGAATTTGTTTTTGTAGATTTATGTTCCTGACATTATGATTCAGGGCACATCAAGTGAGCATTCTCTTGTCATCAAAAATTTTCCTGGTCCTTTCTATAATAATTTGATAGGTGATTTCAGATTCCGTAGAACTCTCGACCGATTGAACCATATAGTTTTTATCTGATCCCCATTGTTCATATGTCCTACTCATCGATAACCACACACAGCCGTGTGACTGCCCTGTTGATCTAGAATCTAGGGGGGTTTAGCGGAATAGGTATTTTGTTCGTAGTCACACCACTCTAGTCTGAACGGTCGTCCTCCTGTTCTGACGTAATTATTCCGGTGAGTCCACAAGAAATGGGAGCACTGGACTCGAGTTTCGCTCTTATTAGAGCTCATCAGCAGTGCATATCCAATGGCCGTGCCGGAATTTGAACCCCGGACAGCTGACAGGCGAGGCGAGCGTATAACCACTACTCAACCACTACCACTACTACTACTCCACTGACGCACGTTGGACGCATTTGAACTTTCACGTCTGAACAGGAGAACCTGTTCGCACTTGAGCGATATGATTGGCGTGCCCGACCCATCGAACGACGACCCAGTAACTGTCCTGGTCGCGTCAACCGATTGATCTCGAATCACTCTTATACGCCAGCCATTTCTGAAGCATGTGTTTCATACAGAGTGGGATGCGTAGATATTTCCACGCAGTGGGAATCACCACGCGGTGGTGATAAGCGTATGTCTCGTCTCGAAACTCCAACACATTTTATCTTGTGTCTTGTGTTGCCCATCTATTGCTGGAGCGCGATATCCGTCCGTACCATCTTTACTGTGACGTTCTGTGACGTTTTGAAATATACCCTACTGACGGGTGCAATCATGGATTGTTTGCAGGTTCAAGTGCAACTACTGTCCCATAGGAGCATTTTAAAGATATAAACGGACACTGAGTATCGCGGCAGCCTATCACCAGAGGTTAATCATTTCGTTCAAAAAATTTTCGTACACCGATTGCTCGCCGTTGAACTCTGCACCAAATGCAAAACGGTTTTGGGGGGGAACTATTCAAGATGGAAATACCGGCCAAATAAATAACAGAGTGGTCCAGTCAGTGTTTAGGAATAAGTGGTCATTCGCTCAAGCTACATCTGGAACAACTATCGTTCATGTCAAAAAGATGAATTTTGAAAGGAATCTTTGTTAAAATGCTCGAACACTGATTGGAAAAAGTGAGACAACTTCAAAACAATTATATGTTCAATCCTACAAGTCAAATATCCGCTATGGACTTATCCAACCAAGTCTTAGGAAGGTTTTGTATCCAGCTTCTTTTTCGTTAATTTAGACTTCAGCGAGTTTAGGCCTTTCATCCAGAACATTTTGGCTGGTTTGGTGTGCAATTCTCACGTAGAAAGTAACTTGCCTAAAAGCAGTGCTTCATATACATTGCTATGAACTTTGGTTGCGATCCGTTTCCCAGAAATCCCCCCATCCAACGTAGAGTCCCGGTGTGGTCAATTAACAGGGAAGATACACCAGAAATGTGCACCATACGGAATGCAAGGCAGTTTGAGAACCAAAATTCTGTTTCTTGTTAAGCAAAACGATTAAAACAAAAACTTTGGGTGACAAGATAACGGGCTACAAAATACAAGGTATAATTTGTCTACAGAGAAAGAGACTAAGGGATATCACAAGCTAGGTCCGTTCGGATCAGACACACGAATTGAATCAGGTACCTTCTCAGAGCTGTGGTCGTATCACGCGGGCGGTAAACACAGGAAGTTTAAGCTGTTCGTCGTAAATCATACAAACAAACGGCTGGTCCACTATGAACTCCACAGTTGGCTCCAGTCGTGTTGACGCTCCTGATATCGACGCCGTTACTCCGGCTGGATCAACCCCGATTTCGTTGACGCTCATTACAGCACCCTGCTTCACCATACCAATATGCACATTGTTAGTGTCAGTCATGCCTGAAAATGCAAACAACAGTGGGTTATGCGTAAGGTTTTGAACTCTGGCAGCTGTCTCGATGGTTCTAGTAACACAGGCTCAGGGGTAAACATTTCACACAGTCTAATTAGCCAGACCAGTAAAAAAGTTCAAATTACTGTTAATAATACGCTCCAAGATGGTGATGGACAAAGTAACTAAGATCGCGAATGACGTGAGAAATTCGGTTACATGAACGTTGGTCCAAACAAATATGAATGCAAACTCTCGCGCTTCCAAAGGAAATAGGAAAGTTTTATCGAATCAGAAAGCTGATTGCAATATGACAGGAACAATAAGCGAATACCGTGATATCCACGCGAAGAGAGAGACCTTATAGGCGGAATCTTTATATAAAGTGAATGCTACAAAAAATTAAAGCTGTTGATACCAAGAGATTCCAAACATGCTTTCTGATCTATCCTCTTTACACGTCCATTACAAAGCGCAGTGGCGATGTCATCCAAAATTGTGACAAAACGTTCGTTCTTCCGACTTCCGAACGACACAAAAACTAGTCCTCATTAGGAAAAACAAAATGAAACTGTCTCTCATATTGTCATGAGGAATACAGAAAGGACTAGAAACAAAGCCTGGGTGATTGCAATAGGCTGCAATCGTTCTGTTGATATCTCTTCATTGCTAAATCCCAATTCGTCCTTTAAAATATACTACTTGTTTTTATTATTACTGCATAACAGGAAAAGATAAATAGGTGTGAACTTGGCCCCGTTGAGGAATGTCTTCATCGTGGTCAACTGCCCAAATTAGTTCTTTATCAGTTACAGTAGCTGTTTGATGGTTAGCAACTGGGGAACTATATTAACACGATTTTTTGTTCTAAAGCAGCTTTGTTTGAACCATAAACATGAATTGCCTTGTCTGAACAACTATATTCTGTACATTCCATCATCGGCCTAAGAGGAAGTAAGACACATTTCATTCCGATTTTCTATACTTAAGAAGAAGGAGAACAGCTTAGTTCTTTGTAGCTGAAAACATTAGTTCTGCTCGTCAACTGAAAATGACTTCAAAAACGGTACAACCTACCTGAAAAGTCGGCTTCTCCTTTTTGGAATACGGATATCACACCCATTGATTTTAACGCGCTAGTTAGATCGGATGTCTGTTGCATCCTGAATTTTGGCATTTTCAATGACACGACCTCGGGTTGCTGCGCGGCCACTAGATCTCGGATGTTGTATTGCCCAGTCAGCATCCGATCGATCCATGTTCTTTCCCAACGTTCAGTAGGTAGGACAACAATGAAAGAAAAACGGGTGTTCTAGAAAACAAAATCAAACAAACCAGTTAGCAAAGTTCACCGCACTCCCACTATGTGTTCACATATTTGGCCCACACAAACTAGAAATTTGTCACCTCACTGTATCAAAGTTCTCTGAATTATACCCGCATCTAGTGACATTGTGCTGATTTGATTCATTTTAATATACTCTCCGAAGCAGTTAGGACTGCGACTCTCCTACTGTGAGAGGTCATCCGCTATTTACATTCTTCCCGAAGAAAAGTCATGGGTTGGTTTCAGTCTACCAATTTCGGTCAGTTATTTGATAGCTGAAAAGAGCGCTCCTTTCACGACATACCCATATATGTATTTACTTTAATATATGGGGTATTTTCATTCTAGCCACGAGGCGACCTTTGGTTAGAATTTAACTGAAATAATCAACGCCTTTCCCTCATAAATTGTGCGTAAGACATTTGGTTGCGAAGTAAGGAGTGAGTAGGAATCACAAACTAAATTGTTGCGATTATCGTAGAAGAAAAACCGTTTACCACATACAGATACCGTCAAAACTGACGCGATGTGGTTACCTATAGTGGTGAGAGTGGAGAATAACAGCTGAAGATTTCAGCCACATTTTAGAGACATTCGCCATGTACTTGGCGTTTTACTGGTACGCGTTTTGGGACAAAATCACGGTTGGTTGTAACCACATGCACCATTCAATTTGACCATACGTCTACTCATATACGCGGCATTTAGGTTCGACTTTAACTGATTCTGATTCCTAGGAACAGCTATCGTCAACGGAGAGCCTTGCTCATTCTAAAATGTATACGTTGCCACTAAGTCATTAGACTGCTCACCATAGAATATTTGATTATAATATACTGATGATATCTATTTAATTTTAAGAAGTCAGTACGGCTGTACGTATTCTCAGTCAGTCTACAATGTTTGTCCTATTTCCCCTTCATTATTTCGCATATTACGTTACTAAGTGTGCTACACAGGACATGAAAAGTGAAATGTGGCGCATACAAATTCAACACTGACCTCTTACATCTGACGTCAAAACTTACGACCCATGTCGGCAGTAAGTAGGGTACTGATGATCTAACACTACCGCTCCTATTTCATATAAATACATGGGAATGGAAGAACCTCCTGACATAATTATCCCACAGTTACACCTTTTTATTTCCAGTAGGATATTAGTTGGACGACTAATGCCGATCTCAAAGACAGCCACCATGATCAATAGGAGATTCTGGGAAATTCTGCTAGGGGTTTTATAAATTATGGAACGGCAACGTGGATCTATAGTTTAAAACGGGCTGTCTGATGTGACGAGCGACATTTTTTATAGGTGAGCTCTGGAGACGTAACTCCAATTATTCTCGTACCTGCGGTTTTTCTATGAATCCATGTCGTAAATTTTACCTTATGATTTGTTTCGAAAAGAGATTAAGATGCCGCTTCATAAGAAATGGTACTATCATGAACCGAATGAACTGTTCACAGGCTTTCAGGAGTCTTGTGGTTTTATCTTATATATGTATGTATGTATGCACGTGTGTGTACCCACATTGATAGTGCTGTACAAACAAGTGACAGGCTGCATGTTCGTCTTTAACTTTAGGGGCTTCTTTTGCTCGTTTATTGTGGTAAGCAGATCCAGGAACGGATGCCAGCTTCTTGGATGTACATAAGGAAGCGGACTGAAAACACCAAATGCCGAATTGCTTGATTAGGCGTTAGGATTGACCGTAACGCCTTTGAAAATGGCTGCCTAATCTCTAAAATCCTTGCTAGTTTTCCTCAATCTTGTTCGTCTTGGTTTGCTGATACTCCCGCAGTAACAGTTTGAGTGCCGATCTTACCATAACTTCCATAGCTTTCCAGTTTTCCGACCACTGCTGATGAACCAATCAGAATCGGACGCTAACATATTACCTGTATGGACGACCTTCTAAGTCACTCTAAAACTGTCATGCTTTTGCTGGTTTTACTCGAATATACTTGCATTAAGCAGGTTGGTATCCTTTGAGTGCTTGCAGACTTTATCCGGAATCGGATAGCTTCGTTAGTTTAATTATTTGTGTTTGAATACTTATAGTTTGAACAAGCTCCCACGACATTCTACTAGAAAGCATGTCCTCGTGCTATAGAGCTATTTATGGATTATATTATTAAATGATTACAATACGTTTTTCTTCGACAGACAAAAAATTGTGAGTATAGAACCACACACTATATTGTTACGAATCCCTTGACAGGGCATGCTTTACATAAATCACGCCACGCAAGGTACGCAAAATGTCCTCTGAATCTATCTCATTTGAATATTGTCCTTTATTGACAAAAAGGATTTCCTAAAACCGGTCACAGACCTGAGGGACGAAGAGGTCCAAATCGGGACTCAACAAAATACTTCCATTTGGTACTGGAAATAGGTTACTCCGTCGAGCAGTCTTGTCATCCGATGAACAGAATGTTGGCCATTACGTATGGTCAGGATGAAAACACCCATAGACGATAAATGCGTCATAGAGTGTGCACAGTTAGTTATGAAGTCTTGTCACACTTCAGGGATAGTGACCAAAAACTGACTGATCCGTATAAGAAAGTAGCTGGTTTCTGAACAACCTAGGCACGCTGGGATTTTAAGCCCATACTGAGGAGCGTTATGAGCAATATTAGCACGTATACAAATATACATTGAAATGCCGACTCCACAAACTGAAAATTGGTTTAAAAAATCTGCATGTCGGAATGATGGTTAGCCAACATTTCAATAGGTTATTTTATATTACTCCAGCAGGGGACTGAACGTTCTGTTCTGGACATTCACCAGAAAGCTGCAGATGAGAACAGCTCTCAAAGATGCTAATTCCTTCATTAGTTTCGGTCATATCCCAACATCCACGGAAAAGAGTAGAAAACACTAGTTTCATCCAAACGTTTTTTATCTACACAGTGCGAGGTCACAGAATGGCTTGGCCGACTAAACGTGTATTGGTTTAAATTCCACTTACTCTGAAAAATTTTCGAATCATCATTATCCCCTTATCTGCCATGCTGGTATATGGCATTTCCTCGACCACGTGCATCATTGAAACGCCTGCGTTTTTGTAACCATCTAAGTAAAATTCCGCCGTTGTTGTTCGACTGGAAGCAAATGGCGTGCTCCAGTTTTCTGAGGGGCACAAAGTCAGAAGTTTTGATTGTTCAAGGTGAATAATTTTATTAAGAAAGATTTTAGATGGATAAAGTTGCTTACGAGTACCAGGTACCATGCCATTTCAATTATTATACTAAAACATCAAACATCTTAGAAAATCCTGGATGTAAAGCACTCAGTGCTAACACAGACAAGTGTCAAGAGGGGAGTTTATGGTACAATTGCCCAAATATGCCATTATTAAGGTACAAAAGCAATCGCCTATACACGAAGTAAAGACAGTAGTGCGGAAAATAAAAACAATACTGGTTTAGCGAAAAAATTACTTGGCCGTTGCTTGGTGTTCAACTAAATTGCTTGCAGGTCTTCAGACCCGAAAACTTATAGAAATTTTGCGCAATAAAATAAAAATATACGTCTATGTCCTACGGGTTTTTCCAAAGAATCCTCGAGCTAAGTAACCAACGATCTAGGAATAATTTTTACTATCTCAAAGAAAGCGGTATGCGATAAAATGATGCTTCCAAAAACAATTATTCAAAGGGCTTCGGAGTGAAACACATACTCCACATCCGAACGCCATATCTAACTGAGAAACTTAAATCGTTGATTTTGCTGACTGAGTTAGTCAGAGATATAAAAGTGCATGGTGTGAGTGGGGGGTGATTCCGTCACTGATGGGAAACACTTGAGTGTCAATTTTACGAACACGAGATTCGGGTTTATCTCAAAAGCACACCGGCGACGCCTGCAGTGAATACATCTGTATACTGTTCCTCAAACCTAACACTTTTCACGATATATTTCACTTTTGGCTACTAAGAATCGTAACTTCTATAAAATCATGACGCACAATGACCCGATTGGAGAAAAAGAACGCAGTGACTGGCCAGATGTCCACATTTTTCTGTCAAAATCATACTTTACGGAAAGCTTACCTCTAAAGGTTACGACATTGAAGAGTGCAAGACGTGTGCTCGAAGATAGTTCTTGTGGCCTGGAAACGAAACCCAAAACCAAACCGCGTGTTTCCGAATATATCCATCGATTGATTTTGTCAGCAGCATCCGACTGATTTCTGAAGTTTATCTGAAGGTCGATGTGAACACAGACTGAGGTTATGTAGCAACACGATAGATATCTGAATGTTTCAAAACAGTTTATCAGGCTCGTTGAACATCTTGTGTCCTTATAATCAACTGATATTTTTCTGCAGACACAGTAGTTTCCAGTTGAGCAGGCAGACCCACAGGTTACTAGAATGGCTCACCCTCGAAAGAACAGAACTGCAAACAAATAATGGAGAAAACTGGTAATCTACCACTGTCACAATGTTTCAGTGTGTGGGCTGAGAGAAAAATATCAACTGTACAATACTGATAAAGCTGTTAAGCTACTGGTTACACATAAAACCAAGTCTTTATTGACGGTAGAAAGCGATGAGTCTCATATTCTTTCCAGTGTGGAGGTTGTGTGAACGGATGAAATTAGCATGATCTTTATCTGTTGTCTAAATAACTATGAATCATCCCACCGTCTGTCCACTTTTACATCTGTATTCAAGAGTCTGTTTTGGCATCGAGATGTAGCAGAGCTGGATGTGTATGTTGAGTGAAGACTTTGTTTTACTTGATGCAGAGTGCTTCTCCGACCTTCTGTCTGTGAAATGTACGGTCAAAAGGGGTTTCGTTCTCCAGTCCTCTTGTTGGCTCGTTTTTCGCGGTTGTTTTTAATCGTAATCATCGCTTCAGTTCTCCTGTGGTATGTATAGTGTGTGCTCAGAGCTCATAGGACAGAAGATGAAATGCCAACAGTAGTCTGTTATAACGTTTCAGTATCATGCTAATTCTATTACCGCAGTCAGATATCTGTGTACCAGGTTAGAATATGCTATGTGAAGAAAGCAGAATTTAGAGCAGACTCAGAATGATCAAGCAAATGTGATGGGATATAATGTAATCCCAGTAGACAGAAGCGGTAATTACTAGGTTTCCTTGTTGAAAATCTGTAATCCACGGACACACTTCAACTAATTGAGAGACCCGAGGACAAACCAAAACAGTGTGGAGGAAGGCTACTTACTGTGGAGAGTTTGCCCTGTACGTGAAGTCAATCTATGCAGGAAGCCGAGAAGCACTGTACAGCTGTTTCATCCTTATTGGGAATCATCAGCAGTGCGCATTTCACAATACTCGGAAGAGTCTCGAATCCGCGACCTTCTGACTAGTAGTCTGAACACCTAACCGTTCGGGCATGGGCGGCTGATCAAAAGTGTGATTAACTAACTCTTAGATAGGATGTTGCGCAGCTCATCCTTTAATCACAGGATCCCATCACGCGGAACTAATTGAGAGACCCGAGGACAAACCAAAACAGTGTGGAGGAAGGCTACTTACTGTGGAGAGTTTGCCCTGTACGTGAAGTCAATCTATGCAGGAAGCCGAGAAGCACTGTACAGCTGTTTCATCCTTATTGGGAATCATCAGCAGTGCGCATTTCACAATACTCGGAAGAGTCTCGAATCCGCGACCTTCTGACTAGTAGTCTGAACACCTAACCGTTCGGGCATGGGCGGCTGATCAAAAGTGTGATTAACTAACTCTTAGATAGGATGTTGCGCAGCTCATCCTTTAATCACAGGATCCACATCACGCGGTCACGTGTGTTGACTGACTTCTCGAGCAAAGAATTCTCTGATGGAAGTTTCACTCATCGGGTGAAAATCACTTATTGTTGTGCTCAATAACTCAAAAACCGATAGCTGTGTGCCAGACAGTTGAACCGCCAAACTTAAAAACATCCCCTAGTTGATTGTATTCGTGGTCAAAAGTGGAAGTGTAGCGATTCATGGATAAACACGGGTGGTTAATATAAGTCTGAATAATCCGCCATAGCCCCCTTAAATTACTGCAGAGATAGGCCTGCCACAATTCTTGAAGCGACTTTTTATGATGACCGCCGTATTAACTAAATGGACTAATCGGTGATCAATAGTTCCAACACTCCAAAAAGCGGGCTGGGTCTTCTTCCTGTGAGTGGTGCATTTCATCTCCCACCAAGAAACATTTTCAGATTCAACTGCTCGGTTCCCGCTATTGCTATTGGAAATCATCCAGTCACTCAACCATCCGACACTTCGGCTTTTGAGCCCGCAACAATCATAGAAGTAATTTTCTGTACCTGTCATCCTACTGATCAGGCCGCGGAATTGCGTTGCCTTATGAATACTAGTCACCGGTCCAGCGTCATTCAGGGTTTCGATTGTATGGCTGCACCAATCCGATCCCAAAGTCGCAAATCAGCGGTTCGGTGTGCCGATGACTTTATAACTGCTTTTAGCTGTTTGTCCCTACTTCTGGTCTATATCGACCAGAGGACGTTGTGATTGTACAACAGTGTGACTCGCGTGCGGCATTACATATTCTGCGTGGGTGTGCATCTGTATGACTTCATGATATAGACATGGTCTCTATTCATCAAGCACCTGTATTGCTTTTCACCAGTTTCCACTCGAGAAAAACGAGTAGGACAGATCATACATAAGACTGTGTCCAAAAACCTCCGGCTTTTATGCTCAAACCAACAAACTAACCTGTTGAACAGTCACTTGAAAGTCATTTTGTATACTCCTAAGAAAGTCCGACCGCATGCGGTAATCATCCCTCAAAAACATTCCATTCGAAACGGTGATGATGCCAAGCCTTTTACGATTAACCACCGACTGTTCAGCGACCAAGTCGTCAACCAACTCTCTATGGAGTAGCTTGCTTTCATACATTGCCAGTTGAAGGCTGTTGTCGGCGATTGGTGACCGCAGTCGTAGTGCCCGAACTAGTTCCACACCAGTTTGTCCGCCAACCGCCCGCGATCCAACAATAGAACTTAGAAGAAATAATACACCCAGTGGACAGGCCAGGTAGTCTTGATCCATAGCTGCATGAATGGAAAATATACGTTTCTGTGAGCGTTTCATATTCATGCATAACAACTCACACTTTTTCTGTAGCTAACTGACATTTTCGCCATTAATACTGCATGCCACACTAACTAAATGAAATGTACTCAGAATGCATATTACCAAGAAGATTTACAATGACCTTGTTGGTTTATTTTAACGAATAGAAAATTAGGTGGTAAACTGCTCAAATGTAAATGGGGGTCAAGATGAAAAATATTTGGAACCGATTGAGTAGGGTTCGTTTTCGGAAACGTTTGGTGACAACCGATTGAAAGGAATAGGGACTGTATGCATAAAATTGACTGCAACGATTGCACTAAGGGTTACATGTGACAAACTGCCAGGGAATTGCACACCACAGCACAAAACAAGGATAAGCAAACCGTCAAAGAATGCAGAAGAACACCAAATGCTGGTCAGCGATGGCGGCACATGCCTTAGACACGGGACATAAAAGCTAAAGAATGTGGAGGCTTTAAGATGGGGTCTGCGATTCACACCACAGCGGCTGATAGACGAGGCGGTGGAAATTACTAAGCTTCACAGCGTGAATAGAACCGAGGGTGTGGAACTGGCGAGCGTATGGAAAGCGGTCTTAGATAAGCCGAGTTGACACGTGACGGTGTGGTTGTCAATCCACATACCGCTATTAGCAAAAACTAGGGGGTGGGATGTGAAAATCCTAAGCCGACCAAAGTTCACAACATTCCTCTTACACAACCATCTTAGCACTAGCTCATCCACACAGACGGACAGAAAGTTCAAACGACGTTCAAGAGGGGTCATCAAATGGACCGAACCAGAAGAACTAGGCCCTAGGCTGGACTCAAACACACGTAGGTTTCCCCATCGACCCAACAATTGTTCACCCACCCTAACACACAAAAATCCCTCTGCCGATATCCAATAGAGATTTAGCTCGACTTAGCTGATTGGTTCTCCTCCCGCCCTAAATCTCGACCAATCTCGGAACCTAGTTACTTGGCCTGACGGAGTTTTGTGTCAAAAGCGAAACGTTGCCCAGCAATAAATCTACCGATTGTCACCAAACTTTTGGTAAACGAGGGGTCAAGATAATTTTGTTCATTTAGCCAGTTGGATTCAGCAACCTAGTATTATCTGATTGCCAGAAGTAACTGGCTGTGTAGCAGTTGAGCACACTATCGGTCGGACATTGGATGGGAAGACGTTGCAAAACTACCCTTACCTTTTCAAGTAACTCCTACAGTGTTGGTTGTAAATGGGTTGTTATAAGCATAATTGGTGCCGAACACATCGACTGGACCCTCACCTACCACACAACTGCGTTAAGTAAAACAGTGGATACATCATACATTAGCCCAAATATCATTCACAGGATGTCATAGCATGAAGATGGAGGGGTAAGCCTCAGCCTTAAACATAACCGAGTTGTACTAGACAAAGCAAAATAGAAACATATTTCGCCTTACACGGGAGCAAACATATGGCGTTATCGCAGAACTTGTTCTTCATTTAATCTGCTAAAGAAGAGAATCATATCTGCAGGACCATGAACACACGGGAGACTTTCGATATTTGATCAACATTAATCCTGTACTTGACCTTTAAAAACGAAATATGGTGTTAAGCTGCCAGAAAATTCCAAGGCCTTTGGAATATTTTGTCGGTTTTAAAGGTTCCACATATTTCAGACGTAATATTCAGATAATGTTTGCAATTTCAGTCTGAATAAGAAGGCAGGGAATGCGTCATCCACGTATCGCTTTTATGTGATCAAGGGTAATCTCATAGTAATCAATGAACAGGGTTTTGAGAGCATATTGCCGTCTGAATACTACCTGACGAAATATCCCTTTACCTACCGCAAACTATTGACCTTAGCAACCAGGAAGAATTATCCCAGGAAGCAGTTGATTCATGATCACATAGCTAATGTGATATTTTTGATCGGGATCTCTCAGTTTTTCTGATATTGCCAATTTCAGCAGGGGGAGAGGAAGAAAGGTAATGTGTGGCGTGTCATGTTTTACTTGTGAGCAGAAAAGAATGCACTCCGAAAAAAGGGTCCTTATGCTTGAAGAAGCTAAAGCATCAACTAAATAAAATATTAAAATTTCATTATTGTCAGCCCACCTTTGAAGATCAGTCCAAATGCCATCTGTAATAAACTTAAAATACTGTTTAGAGTGTACCTGTCGATCCTAGTTAAAAACTACCAGCAAAACATGGTATGGTAAGCTCGGTTGGATCACCTCGTGTTTATAATAACCTGCCTTATCCTTTCACGTAAGGGGTTCCGTCGTTTTCATGTCTGTTACGCTAGGACTGGTGAGCCAGTTTTTATATTCCGGCCGATATAAGAAAAAAAAATGAAAATTTAGCAAACGTTTCTACTCTTTTGTTTAAACAAATTAAACTGATAAGATAAAGCTTATGTCCTATTCATGTCGCCCTTGACAATTCTAAAAGGTTCGTGGTGAACGTAGACAATTTAGAGGTCTTACCGTTTCTTCATATCTATCTCTTCGGCCAACAAGACGCAAGTAAAAGAGCATCAGATTACTTTTGGGTTGTAGAGACTACTTTATTCAGTATTATCCACAATACGTCACACAGAAATAGCACCTTTTGTTTGTTGCCGGGGGACCCTGTGCTGTTGTTGCCATAGCACCAAAACCTGCAATCATAGTAAAACCCTGTGTATTATGTGCTATCTAGTATCCAGCAGTCAGTAAATTGGTGATTTTTTGACGACCTTGAGAATAACGTTTGCGATTTGGGTGGCAAGGAACTATCTTCTTCTTCCAGTGTGGGTGCCATCGTATGTTCTAAAGTTCAAGCTGTCATCAAAGGTGGTAGGAAAATGTCAAAGATATGTTAAGTGTGAGTACTTTCATGGTCAGTCTAAACGGCCTGACCGTACAGCAAATGCGATTTGTTAGTTTTATTGACGTTTCTGTGAAAAAGGTGGACGCCTGTCAGTGCTAGTGACTAAGCGCATCCTCATTATGCCCCAGATGAGTAGCCCCATAACGCCGACGACCTAGTGGATAGACCATGAAGTTTTGTTCGCATAATGTTAAGTGGCCGAACCCTAGACAATTGTCCATCAATGAGACCTACACATCACGAGTAACAAACTAGAAATGTGTGCACGAAAGTGAGCGAAGCAATGCATCTGGGTTCTGTTTCAAATTCTCGGATGCATTGTTGGTTGTACTAAGAATCCTAGGAAAATCCCAACATCCCACTTGCCCTGTTGTTCCAAATCCTGAACTAATGTCAGTCTGCACCGTCAGGTTAACTCCTAAATTCTTATTCCAAACCGACTGCGAGCCATCGAAAAAAGACACAGTTAGGCGATGGATAGCATATCAACGTCCGCGAACTGGGCGACCATACACACAAGTTTGCAGAGACCAAAACAAACCTGAAATCACTATTTCAAGTAAATCAGCTAACCCCAAACGAAAGTTTGGGGTCCTGAGGTCTCCTTGGAACGTCCGTATAGTTACTGGATTGATAACATCTCCAAATTATTACAGCATTACTTGTCACGTCGACCGGTTTGGTTCTGTTTCTCGCATAGAATAAAGTCAGAGTTGTGCGTACTAAGCAACTACGTGTCTTTTCTTGGATTTTTTTATTATTTGACTTAATACATAAAGCCCAAGTTTTCAGATAAAATTAAATGCGAATCCGTCAACGTATTTATCATTCGAACAAGAAAGTTCCAGCTATCCAGTGTATGTGATAGATTCCTGATATTTACCAGCGAAATTATGCCGGTTCGTCTCCTTGGATTTATTGTTTCTAGTGTTTTTACCAGTTGTTTAAAGATTCTGTAACAACTCTCAAATAATTTGTAATACACAACCCATAAGGTTGCTGAAAATCCGTCGACAGCCCACGACCGGTTTTGCCTTTCTTGGGGCTCATCAGGTAGGCGCAGTTTCCGGGTTTCCTCATGTTCTACTTGAAAGCAAATTGTATGAAATTAGCGAATACACACTCATTTGCAGACTAATTAGTTTTTTTCTTCGACAGACTCGCCTGGAACTCAGCTGAATGCCTGGAAACATCACAAACGAGAGATTCAGCTGGGTTCCAGGTGAGTCTCTCGAGAAAAAAATTAGTTTGCAAATAAGTGTATATTTGCTAACTCTCAAATAAATTTGAAAATCTCACTGGTATTATTTATCAAGTTGTTGGTAAAATAACTATAAAAACCCGGGCCTACACTCTTCCACCCTTGAGCGGTGGAGCAAGCTTACGGCTATTAGATCGTGCATTGCTATGAATCCTCGGAACCAGAAGAATCAGCTGAGAAAAACAACTATTTTCATCTGCCACAAAACTTGCTTGGTAGAACAATAACATACAATAAAACGGTGAAAATGGACTTCGCTCCAAAGGACTGGCACCTTGTATGAGACTGACATTGCAAAAAAAATCTCACCAGTTGTTCTTGTAGAAGCCTGCATGTAGCTCCAAATGAAAGCAACGTGGCTTGTGTCGCTCCCATAATATGCCTCATCAAGACCTAATTTGATGCACATTGTATCAGCTCTCATCCGATGCACAATCCGCCTTCCTTTATATGATAGTACCCGTCCGGTGTGGTTCAATTTTTCGTAATTTGTTTGAACCCTCTTGTCATCCGACCGGATATTCAAGCCAGTAATGTTTCCACCAAACTTGTGATAAAGCTTCGACCATGTGACTTGCGGATCACTCAACCGGTTTCGTGCCATGTGTTCACATCCTCTTCTATTAAGTAACTCAGCTACTCAGTCAGGATAGTTACAGCCGTTCAATGAACCAAATCTATTCTCATTAGGTAGAACCAAATAACCACCGGATAATAGAGTATAACAAAAACTTACGTAGGGAGTTGCTAGTTGGGTCATTTTTTAGCTGGACCCCAAGCCCAAAAGAATGGAATACAGAAATCAACGTGGCACGATCCAGTCACCGACCGTGGCATCGTC